TTCCGTGGGCAGTGTTCGTTTCGATTTCGTTTCAGGTCGAGCCCTGTCCCACGGTTCCGGGTGTCCCAGGCCGGTCCTTCGTGCTACCGTACACGGCCGAGGCACCAGACAGGGGGAGAGGGGAACGGATTCCACGGGGGGGAGTGGGGGCGTGGGGGGGGTGGAGGAGGAATGGGGAACGGGGGCCCAGGAGGAGGAAGAAGAGAAGGAGAGGGAATGCAGGAGGGAAAGGGGATTTCGGAAAGGGAAGGAGTGCGGAAAGAGGGAGGGGGGTGGGATGGAGGAGGCAGGGAAAAAATTGCATTCTGATGATCAGTAAAGGAGGGAGAGGAGGAGGGGAAAGAGCGAGAAGAGGAAGAGGAAGACGGTAAAGGGGAACTGCACATTATTGAATCGCTTCGCTCATTCCGCCGGCCCATACGGTCTCATGTCTGCCGTTTGCCCGAGGGCCTGGTGTCAATGCGGCGCTTTGGGGGTTCCTGGGGCCGCTTGGGGGACTCCTGGGGCGCTCGGGGGGGCATTTGGGGGGCCTCCTGGGGCCGCTTGGGGGACTCTTGGGGGCCTCCTGAGGGCCTCGTGGGGGCCTCTTGGGGCCTCTTAGGGGCCTCTTGGGGCCTCGTAGGGGCTTCTTAGGGCCGAGGGCGCGAAATTTTGTTTCGTGTTCCCTCTCTGGGGCCCCTTTGGGGGTGTTCTTGGGGCCCTCTTGGACCGTCTTGGAGGCTTCTTGGGCCGTCTTCGAGCCCTCTTGGGCCATCTTGGGGCCCTCTTGGGGGCCTCTTGGGCCCTCTTGGGGCGATCTTGGGGGCCTCTGGGGCCGTCTTGGGGCGTCGGGAACCGAAAAGGTGGAAGCTCCAAAATCTTTCAAAAACCTAAGGAAAAACAATGAATTTTGCCTCCGGGGGCCCTCTTGGGAGTGCTCTGGGAGGCCTCTTGGGGCGTCTGGGGGCTATCTTGGGCGTCTTGGAGCGATCTTGTGGCATGTCGGACCCCTCGTGTACCATCTTGGGGGCCTCTTGGGGGCCTCTTGGCCTTTCTTGGGGCTCTCGGGGACGTCTCGGAGCCCTGTTGGTGCGCTCATGGAGCGCTCCTGGAGCGCTCTGGGAGGGGCCGCCCCGCGCGCGCGAACTAGAGAATTCTTAACCAGTTACCGGAGATCTTAGCACGCCTCTGGCCCGTTGGGCCAGCGATATATATATATATATATATATATATAGATATATATAAATATATATAATAGAATGTGCAATCTGGCAATCGGCCCATCCCGCCACCGCGCCTTGGTTTTAGGTCTGAGGCCTGCAGGCCTGTCGGGGGCTTCTTGGATGCAGTTTTGAGGCCTCAGTCGTGGCTGTTTGTGGGCTTCTTGGGGGGCCTGTCGGGGCCTCTTGGAGGCCTCTTGGGGCCTCCTGGGTGTTTCTTGGGGCGAAGAGCTCGGAGTTTCGTTTCGTGCTCCCCCTCGTTGGCCCCTCTTTGGGGACCTGTCGAGCCGTCGTGGGCGCCTCTTTGGCTGTTTTGGGGGCCTTCTTGGGCCGTCTTGGAGGCCTCTGAGGCCGTCTTGGAGCGGTCTTGGGTGCCTCCTGTAACGTCTCGGAACCTCGGAAGCCTGAAAAGGTGGAAACCCAACAAACATTGACGAACCAGGGGGAATCAATGATTTTGGCCTTTCGGGGCTCTCTTGTCAAGGCTTTTGACGCTCTCTTGGGGCGTCTAGCAAGCTTCTTTGGCCGTCTTGGGGCCATCCTGGGCGTCGTGGGAAGCTATGATGTCTCGGAGGCCTCTTGGGCCTTCCTGGGACTTTCTCAGGGCTGTTTTGACCCGTTTTGGGGCGCCCAAGGGCGCCCGGGAATTTCGCGGTCCGGGCCCTTAAGAATCTCACGAATTTGTCGGAAATGCATGAACTCTCCAGAACTGCATGAGACTTTGAGCACTCCACTACGTGCTGAAGGCACCCTGGCGGATATTCAGCTGCCTGCGGCAAGTCCCGCCACCGTGCCAGCCCAGCATTCTGGTTGACGATTGTTCGAGGGGGCACGGGAGGCCAGCACGTGTGACACCTCGTGTCCCCAGTTTGATAAGGATGATGAGGATTATGAGGATGATGCGGAGTATGACGATGATGGTAGCCGATAGTGGTGATGAGAAGGACGAGGAAGACGAAGAGAACGAGGATGTGATGTTGATGTGAAGAGAACGGGGATGAAGAGAACGAGAAGAGAAGAGAACAATAAGAGAACGATGGTGATTTCCACGCGATGCTGATATCCCGGCGTGGTGCCGAGGTGCGGCAAGTCGTGATCAATGTTGTGTTCAAGTCCTGCAGGCGATCGATCGAGCGCCCAGCCCATGGAACGCGTCCTCCAGGTCGTGAGGGAGTCCTGGCCGTGCATCCGCGCCATGGTCGCAGTGTTTCCAGGGCCCACGTTGATTTCGAAACCGATGATTCGGAAGGCTTCGGTGATGATGTCCACTGCAGTGTCCACTTGGGCGAGCAGCTACTGAAGGGATTCGGCCAGGAACTCGAATGCCACGTCATCTACACTATGCTCGTCGTCAGGAGCCTGCTGTATACTGGGAGGGCCTCTTCTGGCCCGTTTGGAGGCATCTTGGCCCGTCTTGGCGCACGATTCTGCCGCCTTGGAGCCATCTTGGGCCGTCTTCGAGTAAGCTTGGGCCTTCACGGGACCGTCTTGGTTGCCTTCACGGGCCGTCTTGGAAGTTCGGGGCGCATATCCATAGTTTTCAATGATGGGCCGTGGCTTGGGAGGCCCTGGAACGCTTTGGAGCAGGGCTTGGGAATGCTGGACGTGCGCGATCCTCATGCTGGTGCGCGTGCAAGGGGAGGGGCCTAGGAGGTAGCAGCCGTGCGGGAAATGCACAATCCTCGATCGGTTGCACATGTAGATGCCATGCGGTAATCTCGAGCGGGCACGCGTGGCAGGGGGAGGGGGGTCAGGCATTTGATGCCACGTGGGAAGTGCACCATCCTCGAGCGGGAACGCGTGGAAGGGTGTCTCAGGCATTCGCTGCTATGCGGGAAGTGCACCATCCTCGAGCGGGCACGCATGGAAGGGGGGGGGGGTAGACATGAGTTGCCATGCTAGAAGCACACCTTCCTCGAGCGGGCACGAGGGAAGTGGCCTCGGTGAGTAGGAGCGATGCATGCAGAAGTGCTAGTAGGGGGGGGGGGGGGGGCAGTCCCTGTATCATATTGCAAAGCCCTACCACACAGGGGGGCACGGTGGCGGATCTATTGTAGTTGTGCGGTTGAGGCTGATTTTTTTGTTCGAGAGTGTTCCCACGATAGGCCCCGAGAGGGCCTCCTATCTCTCATCTCCGTCCTTTTCCTTGTCCCCTTCCTCCTCGATTATCCCCCCCAATGCTCCAGAATATCTCCTTTCTCCACGCCTTTCCACCCGGGATCCCGTTTCCCCCTTCCTCCGTTCTTCGTTTCGTTTTCTCTTTGTTTGGTCCTTCCCTCGCTCAATCTTGCCACCTGTTTTCTCACTTCTCTTCCCACTTTCTTCCCTCTTCCTTCATACTGGTTCATGAGGAAGAATGGGCTCTGGGTTCCAGGCCGCTGCTGAGGTCTTGGTCGGGGAACCTAGTCTACACGCTTCGCGTAACCCTACCAGCCCATCCAGAAACGATGTCCAGACGAGTTGCCCTGATGAGGGATGTGGCAGAGGGGTAAAGGCGTCATGCCCCAAGAGGGGGAGGATGGAGGATGAATCGGAGGAGCAGAGGGAGTGGGAGGAGTAGCAGGGGGAGGAGGGAGGAGGAAGGAGGAGAAACAGGTGAATGGGGAAGAGGAGGGCAAGGAGGAGGAGGGCGAGCAGAAAGGCCAGAAGCCTTTTGGGTGCTCCTCGGAGTCTCTTCGGAATTTATCCGAGAACCTCTTGGAGTTACTTTGGTGTGTATTCGAGGTCTCTTGGCAGTCCCGAGGGCCTCTTGGTGCGTCTTGGGTGCCTCAGGGGAGCCCTTTGGGGCCTCTCGGGGGTCTCGTGGGAGCCTCTTGTGTGCATTTGGGGCGCCTCTTGGGACCTCCTGGACACCTCTCCGGGCCGTCGTCCTGCGGCACCCTTTGAAGCCTCGGGGGCCATCTTGGAGGAGAATGATCAAAGGTGAGGCCGTAGTACATTAGCCCCCCCCGAGGCCAACATGTGGCCAAACATTGAGTCAAATCAGTCATGTTGGTCTTCTCGCCGAGGCCTCTTGGGACGTCTTGGGTGCATCTTGGTGGCCTCTTGGGGCCTCTTGGGAGTCTCTTGTGAGCCTCTTGTGTGCGCCTCGTTGGGGCCTCTTGGGGCCGTCTTGGGGCACCCTTGTGAGCTGCGGAGGCCATTCTGGGGCCATCTTGGAGGGGGGCTTCTGAATCTTCACCCCCCCAGGAGGCCAAGATGTCACCAAAACCTTAATGTCATACATTCTGTCAACCTCCTCGCCGAGGCCTCGTGGGGCGTCTTGGGTGCCTCTGGGGTGGCTTCTTGTGGGTCTCTTGGGAGCCTCTTGGGTGCATCCTGGGGGTCTCATGGGGGCCTCTTGAGGCCTCCTGGGCACCTCTTCGGACTGTCTTGTGGCACCCTTTGGAGCTTCGAGGGCCATTCTGGGGCCCATCTTTGGAGGAGATCGACCAAAGGAGGGGCCGTACTAAGATAGCACTCCCCCCGCCAGGAGACCAACATGTTGCCAAAACCTCTGTAAAAACGGTGATTTGGGGTTCGTCGCCGAGGCCATCTTGGACGCTCGGACTTCCCGCGACCTCTCCCCCCTCGGGGTAGGGAACAGTGGTAAACCCTTCCCCGGAGGGGAAGAGGGAAGATATGGCAGATGAAACCCCCTGAACCACTCACGCCCAGAGGGCGGGTGGGATTCTTGAAGGAGGCCCTCCGTGGCCAGAAGAGCGCGTTCCCTCCCCACGCTCACGGTGGCACGATGGCTGCACTCGTCCTTCCTCCCTCGCTCCTGGGTCTCGTGCCGAGCCCCCCCCCCCCTGCCAAGAGGAAACCTACGACGACGACTGAGGGCGCGAGATGCGGCGCGGGCGCGGGCCCGCCGCGCGCCGCCGGCCTCTCGCGGGAGGCCGGGCGGCGCGGGCGGCGGCGACGGCGACGGCGAGGGCAACGAGGGCGACGGGGGGCGGCGACGAAGGCGAGGGTGGCGGAGGCGACGCGGGCCGCCGCGGCTCGCCGCCTTCTCGTCGCCGCCGTCGGCGGCGAGGGCGGAGGGTGAGGGGGGCGGGAGGGGGCTCTCCAGACTGGAGCGACGGAGGCAGCCCCAGTTGGGGGCGCGGTGGGAGCTGCCACAGCTCGCCTGTGCGTACTCTTGCGCGAGCTATTGCTGGTGGGCGTGAGCCATGGCACGGGGCGTAAAGCGTCGCATCTGAGAGAAGACGTACACGACTGCATCCACGCGCAACGCTGGCGTCTAGACCGCAAACGCCGCAAAAGCAATCCATTCAAAACTGCTGCAAGCACTATTGCAGCTACTCCGGCCCCCCCATCTGTGCTACCCCCAATGCGAGGGTGACAAGGGGCGGCGACCGTAGGGGCGAAGATCGACTGAAATAATACCAGGACCATGAGCAAGATGGCGCGTGATCGTGTCGATGCCGATTTTGCTCATGGTCCATGCCAGCCGTCGCCAGTTCGCGAGGAAGATATACGAATTGACACTGCCCAAGATCAATGGTGACCAAGATCGCGAAACGATCTTTCCGCATTCAGTCTTGATCATGGTCCCCGCTTGTTCCCTCTCCAGAACAGTCCAGGGGAGCCTCGCCTTCGCCGAAAGCACGGGCCACCGGTGCTCCCCCTCAGGGTTCATCGCCTTCGAGCGAAGGCGACGAGGACGACGAGGCTCAAAGCGACGACGACCTGGGCGAGAGCGAGGGTGAGGACAAGCAGGAGGGCGAGGACGGGGAAGTTTACCTCGGAGGGGAGCGTGGATAGGGTGCCTGGCAATGTCACCCCCAGGATTATCAGCGAACGATCCGCAGCGTTGCCGCTAGCGGCATCGGAGGTCGAAGGGGGGGGAGTTCGAACCGGGCCGCCCCCCTGAATTGCGGGGGGGGCTTCGAACTCCCCCCCCCTCCCTCAAGGAGGTGAGGGGGGGTTGAACCGGAGGGGACGGGGCGCAGAACTGCAAGGGGGGCAGGGGGGCTTGATCCGTGGGGAAGGGGGGGCCGCCTCTCTCAAGGGGAAAGGGTGTCACGGTGTTCCTACGGGGCCATGAACCGTGTGCGGTTGTGCCGAAACGGACACCGTGGTAGCATGCGAGCACAGCCATTGTGGCCTTCGGTGGAGCTCCCCGGGCCACGAAACGTATTAGGGTTGTGCCGAAATGGGCGCGGTGGTGCCATGCGGGCGCTGCCTTTGTGGCCTTCGGTGGAGCTTCCTATAAGGCGACGAAACCTGTTAGGGGTGTGCCGACACGGGCGCGGTGGTACCATGCGAGCGCAGCCACTGGGGCCTTCGGCTATGGGGCCACGAAGCGTGAGAGGAGTGTGCCGAGTTGTGTGCTGTGGCACCATGCGAGCGCAGACATTGGGACTTTCGGTGGAGCTCCTTACGCCCTCACGGGGCCACGAAAAGTGTGAGGGGTGTTCGAAACGGGCGCGGTGGTGGCATGCGAGCGTTGCCATTGTGGCCTCCAGTCGAGCTCCTTATGGGGTCACGAAACGTGTGAGGGGCGTGCCGACATGGGGTGCGGATGGGGAGAAGCAGGGATGTGAGGAGGGAGGCGGGGGGGGAGGAAGGAAGGAGGAAGTGACGCGTGGCGCTGTCTCTTCAAAGCGAGGACCCCACACCACAGGATGGTTGGGACAAGTCCTTGTGAGTGTTGGAGTTTTCTTCATTTCAGGGTTATAAATTGCAAGGTTGCAAGCGAAACGCCTGGCCCCGGCCTGGTGCCACGTCTGCTTTTGCGGCAGAGGTAGATTACCTATGAGATCGCGGGATGGGGAAGGAGGGGGAGAATCGGGGATAATCGGAGTAAGCCCAGGATGCGCCAACGATGTTGCAGTACACCCTCCCGTTCCAAGTCTTGCCCGCTTGAGTCTCTACAAACATTCTGTTAGACAGCGCATAATCTTGAATCACAGTATTGGACGAGATGAAAAGCCCGATCCCCACGTTGCAAAGCATCTGCGCTTCATCCGTGAAACTGTCGCATGCTCCCCATCTCTTGGGCGTAGAACCTGAGAAGTTTCCTATTAGTTTCAGCTAACAAATAAAAACAACCGCCGTCCGTCCGTGCAAACCTGGACACTTTTACCACGGATGCGCGCAGCGCTTAGGTGAGAGCCATTGAACACCCTTCGTCCTCCATCCATGTATATACTTGATGAGAAAACGAAGCTCACAATCTTGTCATGAGAAAAAGAAAAACGTATAATCGTAGACAAGGGATGAGGGAGGAAGAGGGTGAGGAACAACGGGGAAGGATGAGGTGGAGGGTGAGCATGAAGAGGAGGAGGAGGAGGAGGAGGAGGAGGAGGAGGAGGGAAAGGAATAATGGAGCACGACGAGGAGGAGGAGGAGGAGGAGGAGGAGGAGGAGGAGGAAAAGCACGAAGGGAGACGAGGGAGGAGCGACAGAGCAGGGGGAAAAGCCAGGCCGCGCCGCGCCCTTCCGCGCCGCCGCACGCGCCGGGGAGCCGCAGGGAGCCCCGCCGCTGCACCGGCAGTGCCGCGGCTGCCCGGCGGAGCGGGGCCGCGCGAGCACGCGCGCCGGCGCGGCCAGAGGAGGGCCGGGCGCCCAGGCCAGTGCTCGGCGGTGCAAAGACGGGGCCCCAGCCCTCCAAGGAATGGAACGGTCAGTTCTGTGCGGATGTGTTTCGTCCTCTTCGGCTTCCGTGGGCCCTCGCCGGGCCCCAGGACCGTCAAGACACGGCTCAGGATGCAAAGCCGGCCTTGGGGAAAGCGTCGGGACTTCCCCGGGGACCGCGCATGGAAAGAATCAGTGCGTCGGACATTTGGGGCCCTGGGGGATGGGGACCTAAGGTTGGGAAGGGATCAGAGCCCAGACCTGCGACGTCCCGATTTGTTCAGTACGGCGTCCCCCACAGTCCCGACACTTTCCCTGGACCAGTTCTTCATCCTGAGTCGTTTTGAACGGGGTCCCAGGGCCCAGCGAGGGCCCCGCCCAAGACGACGAAAACCCCCCGTCCTAGTTTGTTCATCAGGCGAGCATGTCTGGGAGGATTGACGCTGCCTGGAGCGCCTCGTCCTCAGGGCCCCTCCCCTCGGGGCCCCATCTTTGAACCGCCGACCTGTTTCGGCCCCGCGCGCGGGGGGCCTCTCGCCCGCGGGCGCAGGGAGAAACACAAACTACTCCTCCGCGAGCGCGCGCGCGCGGCGCTGCAGGGCCGCACGCGCCCCGGCCGCAGCGTTGGTGGGCTATGCGCGTTGAGGTGGCCCTTCGCTCAGAGGAGGGCCGTTTAAGACATTGGTAGTCCATTAGCCTTCGGGGGGCCCCTCGTCGCCACGGCTGGACGCGGCGCGGAAAACTGGTGCGCCCAGACCTCGGGAGGGGGTCCGGGGACCGAGTGGGACTTCCCAGCGTCTCAAACCGCCCTGCTCCGGTTCGCCGGAGTGCGCCGAAGAGCACCGCGGGTTGCAGGCGGTCGCATGGCGAGCGCAGCGCGGCCCCTCCGGCTGGATCGCAGCGCGGGCGAGCCGCTGGGGCCCCCGCCCGAGCGCGGAGGAGCCCGTGCGCGGCGGACGAGTGGACGAGGCGGCGCGAGGCCTGCGCGAAGCTATGCCTCCCAAAGGAGGATCAGAAGGAGGAGGATATGGAGGAGGAGGAGGAGGATAAGGAGGAGGAGGAGGATAAGGAGGATAAGGAGGAGGAGGAGGAGGAGGAGGAGGAGGATAAGGAGGAGGAGGAGGAGGAGGAGGAGGAGGAGGAGGAGGATAAGGAGGAGGATGAGGCGTGAGCGCAGATGTGGTCGAGGGATCGCGCCGCATCGCCGATGCAGCGGCCCGAAGCGGAGCCCGATGCTCTCCACGCTGACGTCGCCGAGGCATCGGTGATGCCTCGGCGATGCGGCGCGATCCTCCGGTCCCATCTACTCCGACCCCATTTGGGAGGCCTCTACCTTGGTGCGGGCGCTCCGATCTGCCCCCCCTCCCGCGGCCCCAAATCAAGGAGGTCCGATCGGACGCCCGAAAGCGTCACGCCCCACTTGTAGGGACGGCGAGATTTCAAAGGGTCTACCAGGACGAGCAATGCTGGTGGCGAAAGTGAAGTTTTCGCCGTGGTCTTGACAGGCGCGCGTGAAGGGAGGGAACAAGGGGAGGAGGAGAAGGAGGGGGAAGGGGAGGGCGGCGGCCCCGCGCTGCAAAGGTCACTCTTGCCTGGGGCCAATATTGCGTGGATCTACTTCGGCCCTGCGCGTGGGGGGGAGGCGCTCGCCCGAGGGCGCAGGGAGAAACGAGGCACTCCTCCGCGACGGTGGCGTTCTCGGTGCGTCGGTTGGATCTGCAGGAGATGTGGACGCTTTGGCCAGGATCCGTTACGTTTGCCCAGCCAGGCATGCAAGCCTGGTTGTATCGCTCGCTCGCAAGAGGCGGGACTAGCCTTACCGGCTTGTGAGAGGCTTCGGGCCTAAGAGTCCGGCGTAATCTTCTGATGGTCAAGCAGTGGCGAAGCGTCCTGACCTGCGTACAGGCCCGCCAAAGGTTGTTCTAATAACATGATGTGATTTGCACGTCACGTTCTTAGACCATTTCTGGCTGAGACGGTCTTGCTTGAACAAGTTGGCCTTACTATAGGAATGCCTGGACGGTCGGTCCCTGCGCCATTGTTCCGACTCCGACTCCTCGGCGTGGCGGGAGCCTTCCGCCTCGACCAACCCTGCGCGTTGGGGCGGGAGGGCTCCGCGCTCAGGCTGGCGCCGGCTACACTTCGATCCCGCGCGCGGACCGCCGCCGCCCCATGCTCAACCCCATCCCTCAGTCCCTCAGGTTCTCCCCCCCTGCGCTCCCCTTGCCCACGATGGCCCACAGACGGCCCAAGAGGCCCCGAAGACGCCCCGAGTGGGCTCCAAGAGGCCCCCCAAGATGGCCCCGATATGCCACAGCCATTGATTTTGCATAGGTTTGTGAAGCATTTTAATGTACTCGTCGTTTGTTGCTTCCGGCGCTCCAAGACGGCCCAAGAGGCCCCAGACATCCCCCCGAGACGGCCCAAGAGGCCCCCAAGGGCGCTCTTAGACGGCTCAAGATGGCCCGAAGATGACCCAAGAAGTCCCCAAGACGTCCCAATAGAGTTCAAAGAAGGGCCTATGAGAGGCCCCAGAGGCCTATCACGAAACGATGCTTCGATCCCCTCGCCCCAAGGTGGCTCCCGAGACCGCCAGCAGACCCCCAAGAGGCCCCCCACAACCAAGAAGCCCAAATCTGACCCGAAGAGACGAGAGGCCCCAGAGACACTCCAAAATCAAATCCGAGAGGCTTCCGAGAGGCCTCCCAAGTGATCCCCAAAGGCATCCCAGTGGCCTCTGACCTACAACGCCGGCTCGGTGGCGCGATGGGCCAACGACCATTCGATCCGCCGCCCCCTGTTGGCTTGCCACAGGGCTGCCGGGCGTGAAAGATCCTAGACGGTTTTGGTTATTTTAGAAAATTTCCTTGGGTTTCGGCCCGTCCCGCCGGGGTCCGGGAGAGCCGCGCAAGGCCGCACAAACGACCGGAATGGTCGTACATATTTTTCTGAGGACGGCCAAGATGGTTTTCAAGACCGCCAAGATGGCCTCCAAGATACCTCCAAGATGGTCACGATGGCCTTCAAGAGAGCTCAGATGGCCCAAGATGCTTCCAAGACGGCCCGTGATGGACCAAGAGGCCTCCAAGACGGTCCCAGGGGCTCCCAAGAACTGCTTCAGGAAGGCCCGCATATGTCAAAGTCAATGATTGTCCTTAGGTTTGGGATGGATTTTGTTTTTTTGCGTTTCTTCGGCCTTCCGACTGCCCAAATTGGCCCCAGAGGCCCCCATGGCCACCCCACGGCCTCCAAGATGGCCTTATGACGCACACGAGGCCCCTAAGACGGCCCCAGGAGGTCGCCAAGACGGTTCACGAGGCCTCCGAGACGCCAAAGATGGCCTGATGTCGTGTCCCACTCCGCTTCCCTCCTCTATGTGTCTGTCATCGCTTTTGAGGTTTGGCGTCCACCATGCGACGGACACGGACACGTGTCATGCCACTTCTCGGGCGATTTGCAGAGATCAACTGATGTTCGCCTCCCCTCCAGATTCGCATGTCAATGGTCGCCGGCGCGTGAATCAAGGGAGACGGAGGCGGCCGCAGCGCTGGTGCAGTTGCCCCAGGAGAAGAGCCAGGAACGTTTGTGATTGTGTCTGAGGGCGTTGAGGAAGCAGGACAGGAAGACAGAATCACCACCGCCAGCCGAGGTTAATGACGAACAGAACTGGGATGAGACCTGGTGGGGTGGCAGGCGGGATAACACCACGATTGGTGGAGAACAGCGGACTGGGCGTCAGGCTGGACGCCTGAAGAACTCACCAGAGAGAAGTCGTGTGTTTTCACTTCCTCCTCAGTTCCTTGGGATGGAACATCTCGAGGTCTATCTGTCGAATCTAAAGTCATGGTCCAAGAGGACCAGCTATCTTCCTGAGACCCGAACAGCAAAGGTGCTGGCATCATATCCGGTGGAGCTGCAGGGCAAGTTCCGAGGGGTCCAGGAGCGACTGGACGATGAGGGGGGCGTTGATAGATTGCCCGAGCATTTGAAATTGCCGAATGGAGAGAGACCAGGGGGCCAAGAGCGAGACGCCCAGCATGCTGCGCTTTTCGACCGCGCAATCCTCGAATGAGAATCGCTGATGGACTTTGTGGTAAGGCGGGATGCGCAGCTGTCTCGTGCACGGTCGTTCGGTCTCGAACTTCCGGATCCAGTGACTGCGAGGTTTCTGCGAGAGGTCCCCCAGCTCACGGACCAGATGAAGCTCAACCTCAGGACGCTGATGGGCAATGACGTGTCAAGCCAGCCGACTAAGAGCACGCCGCTGAAGCTGGATGCGCCCGACAAGTCCGCTCTTCCAAAACATCCGGCGCCAGGAAGCATGAGTTTTCACATGTCAGAGCAGCAGGCGCCCAGTGACAGCGAGACAGAGCTCAACGTATGCGAAGTGGAGTTCCTGGGCGAAGAAGCAGCAGAGCTTCCCGCGAGTCTTGAAGCCCAGGGCGCGCGCGAGGACGAGGCGTTCAAGGCGTTCGCAGAGATAGCCGACAACGAGAAGAGAAGCACGTGGAACAAATCGCGACAACCTAAAGCAGCCCGAAAAGTAGACCAGGGCTCTGTCGATCGCAAGAGAGCTTCGGGGAATCGGGCGGAGGATCAGCGCGGGCGACCTGAAGCGCGAAATCCGGCGCACGAATTGTGGAGAGAAAGGTCGCTGGCGAGGGGGCTGCAAAAAACCGCGCCGTTCGAAGGCAGACAGGATCCGAGCAGAAGGCGGCGGCTCGGCTTCGAAGGGGGCGGCGCAGGCAGGGTCAATGTTAAATTCCAGCGAGTGGTATTTGTTCCGATCGATGCATTCGGACCCTGTGCCAACTTCTTGGCGCAATCAAGCGTCGAGGCAGAAGAGTGTTCGGGAGTTCAACGCGAGGAGATGGAGGGTGATGGTTTAGTTGGCACGGCAGCCGCCCAGGCGCAGATAGGAGAACGTGACCCGCGGAACACGCAGGCCGCTGTCGAGGGGAAAGGATGTGCTATTCGTTTGAAGCATGGGAAGAATCTTCGGTTTGCGAACGGGGTAGGTGGCCGAGTGCGCCCCGTGGCGCGAGCG